GGTGCTGGTTTTCCACCGGATACCATCTGGTTCTTCACCAGGTTATTACTTAATGCCTGGGCTTAAGTCTCCTAGATGGCGGCGTAGCAGGCTCTTTAAACTCACAGTGCTGGTTTTCCACCGGAGACCATCTGGTTCTTCACCAGGTTATTAATGCCTGGGCTTAAGTCTCCTAGATGGCGGTGTAGCGGGCTCTTTAAACTCACGGTGCTGGTTTTCCACCGGATACCATCTGGTTCTTCACCAGGTTACTAAGTAAGAGCGATGCTCTTAACAATTGCATAGCCGGAGCGAGTGGACTCAATGTGCCTTTTAGGTGTGTAAGACAATAGAGGATGATCTTATGAGGATAATATAATCCTCTGCACGAGTAATATCCTGATTGTTGGACCCATGGGTTTCCTCTGACTCTCATTTTGTCAGGTAAACACTAACTTTTAACATCCACTGAAATTATTATTCTTGAAGGTTTAAAGATTTATAAAGGCTCAAAGATTCATTAACAATCACACAAACATAGATTTACACAAATGCACTATCGATTGGAAAGGAATCATCTAACTTAGGAATCTATCTATACAGAAGCATCTAACTAGGAGAAGCAGAAAATATAGAGGAGTTTACACGTAACAAATTTTCATTGGGAGCTTACTGATTAACAAAATACAGGTAATTACTGATTATCAAAATAATAGCATAGGAAGGGCCTTCTTCAGAGGAGGTCTTTTTCTTTCCTGTCTCTTGTTTATGTAACTGGTAGCGAATGGTCCAGGCGAGGAAGGCTGACTTCTGTTGGCGATGAGAGGCTCTCAGGGAGTAGAGACAGCCGATAACTACTAAAAAGAGGCACAAAACTATTAAACATCCTCTAGCAAAAAGGATCCAGACACGGAGATTGAGTCCGGAGAACCAATGTGTGGGATTAAGCCAGTAGGCAAAATCATTAAGTATATTAATTGTAGCTTTATTAGATTCTGATTGTAATCTTAAGAGCTATTCCTGTAATTGAAATTGTAATTTTTGAATATCACTTTTCAATGGAGAAGCAAGCTAGCCAAAAGATTATTTTTAACATCCTTCCAGGACTCATTATATGGAAGGGCTGTAACACAGAAGCGAGTGTATTCAGCATCACAGGTTAATTGAGAATGTTCCCATAGGGCTTCTTGCTGTTCTCCAAGCCAAAGGACTGAGGCTTCTAAAGCACCCAGACGCTTGAGGATCTCTTGATCAATATGTACCATAGTTTGCATTTCAGAAGTAACATTTTGCATATAAGTGTTAAACTGTTGGGCAAAACTGTTGGGCGGTTTGAATGGATTGAGAAAGAGCCACGGCGGCAGTAGCCGTAGCGGCAATAGCAGTGGCTGTAATAATAGAAGCGATAAGGATTCCCAAGAATCTTTTAGTCCGCATTTTCTGTAATGCGTTAACAACCTGAGCAAGAGGGGAACTATCTTGCCAGGGGCGTGTAAGGTTAACAGGTAGCCAAAGGTGGCTTCTTTGGCGGAGAACAAATACAGAACTGATATTAAGAGTAGAGACATTTTGTCTAGATAAAAACATGGTGTAATCCATGTAGAGCCACTGGATAAAGTTAATTGAAAAGAGGTATTTATTTTAATAATATCTGGAGGGTTAGAGGTTATAGCAAAAATGTATGGTCTGGATGTACATATAAGTACAGAATCATTATGATCATGAAGGGTCCATCGTAATTTTGGGAGTGGGTTTTTGGCATTTTTTGTCCCCCTGAGAAAGTCCCCTGAACGGAGAGTTCTCTCAAAGAAGGGGAGTCCCAATCGCCATGAAAAAATCTTTAAAGGAGAAAATTGCCCACCTGGGTAGCGTAAACGAAGAATGGGTCCGGCTAAGCCGGGGTTCCAGGATTGACAGTGTCCTAGATAATGATATGGAGTTGCCCATTGCCAGGTAGAAAGATTTGGTAATAAAATTAAACCATGAGGACCCCAATTATCTAAGGAAATGTTGAAAGGGAGAGAATAAGACGAGAAATTAGTAGTTCTGCAGGTAACCCAGGTATTATCAATAGGGTCTGTAAGAGATAGTTGGGGATGTTGACAGACAGGAATAGAAGGGGGTGAATGGGTAATAAAGGCACTGTTATTACTGAAAGTGCCGTTAACACCTATAGCTTTAATAAAAATTTGTTTAGAATAGACTGGTATACGATAGGTGTCGTTATAGTAGATATGATTCATATACCATTGTTCTAATATAGGTACACACACAGAAGTAGTGTGAGGTTGGGTAGTAAAGCATAAAGGAAGGGCATCAGCATAAAGTATCCAATTTGTTGATAATACAAACCAACCTTCTTCAGAAGACTTAATGAGTGGCTTAAAATAAGCTAAATATTGTCCTCCTGTAAGAGGTATCATTAGAGGAAAGAGGGGGCTCTGGCTCTTCCCATGTGACTGGATGGAAAACAGGAGGATTAAGAACATGAGCCCAATAAGTGGTTGAAGCAGAAGCTGTTAATATTTGGAAAAGGAAGACAAAAATATACACCTGAGATTTAGTAAATGTAAAGAGAGTACCGGTAGTTAAGAATGTTTCTTCAGCCCTGGAGAAAGAGGCTTCCAGACCCCCCCATGCCACCGGCACAGCAAGACTCAGCCATTCATTCTTCCTTTTCTGTTTCTGGATCAGTGTTTGATGCAGGAGCCACAGTTGTTGGGTCATGATATGGTTTCACTAGTCGAGCAGGAATCCAAAGTGGGCCTGTAGGAGACAAAACAGCCGCATACCCTCGCCCCCAGGTTAATAGTTCTACAGGTCCTTGCCAGACAGAGGGATTTTGAGGATCTTTATAGAGGACCTGTGGGCGAGGTCGGGTGTCAGGGGGGATAAAATGTCGTTCTGTAGCAGTACGACCATCTTTGGCAACCGATAAAAAGTTAAACGTAAAGGGAGCTTTTTCTGGCACCTTAAGCTTAGAGGCCTTTAACAATCCCAACAACTGGGTTTTGTGTTGACGCTGCTCAGGAGAAAGAGAATTCCCCATAGCGAGGAGGAAACGGAAAAATGAAGAAAAGAATGATAGGAAAGCTCCTGGCCTGAAGCCTAAATCCCTTGGGAGCGTTCGGGAAAGCCCTGCCGCCCTTGAGCTGTAAAACCCAGCCTGAATTGAGAGCGTTCGGAAAGGCCTCCGGAAAGCCTCGCCACTCTCGGGCTATGAATCCTAGCCTGAAATGGACGCGCGCCCTATACTTACCGCTTTCTGGAGGGATTGGAGTGCGAGGATCTACGGTCTCTCTTCTTTCTCTTAGAAGCTTCCTCACACGGGGCACCATCTGTCGCAGCCCCTCACACGGGGCACCATCTGTCGCAGCGGCGACGGTAATCGGGACGGCGAAGACAGTAACCAACTGCACAACTCTTACAGAGAAGTGGGGCCAGGAGGGTCACTCTGAGGAGTCGACCTGGCTTCAGTCCCAGGAGTTTATTTTATAGTCAGTACCGCAAGCAATAAAGCAATTAACAAAACAATGGGCTTTGGGTGTGGGCAAGGGAGAAGGAATTCAGGTAAACAAGCCAATCCGTAAAGGGACAATAGGTTTGGGAAAACAAATCGTGACAAGTCTCAACATATTGGAGACAAGTCTCAACATGCTGTGCAGCATAGAGGCCTGTGGGGGCTGCAGTTGACAATAGTGCAGCCATGTTTAAATGGCATATATCCCCACACTAACCCAATAATAATCTGAGGTTCAGAGAAGTTAGCTACCTACTCGAAGTCCCACCAGTGGTGGCAACAGTGGAATGTGACCTCACAGCCTGTCATCGGAGTCTTTGCTTTTAATTAGCTGCCACGCATGGACACTGAAAGTTTGTAAATGAGAAGATACTCTGATTTAAAAAAAAAAAAAGAAAGAAAGCTCAAGTGATCTTCTTTAGATGTAACATCTTTAAGACAGCAGCAGTAAATTAAAACTATTCTAAGAAGCCAAATTCAGAAGGGCTGAGTTCTGCCAACAGGAATTCAGTCATGGTCTCCCTTTTGCTGAGGTTGGAACCATGTTAATGGAAAGACCTGTCTGCATCTCATTGAGTAAGTACTTCAGACATACCCATTGCCGTTGAGTTGATTCCAACTCATAGTGACCCTATAGTACAGAGCAGAACTGCCCCATAGGGTTTCCTAGGCTGTGATCTTTATTGGAGCAAATTGTCAGATCTTTTCTCCCACGGAGCGGCTTGTGGGTTCGAACTTCCGGGTAGCAGCTGAGCACTAAACCACTGTACCTCCAGGGCTCCTTACTTCAGACGTAGGTGGTTAAAAGGAAGAACAGCTAAACTGCTGATGCTGAGAGCAGCTGGTTAGTGAATACAGCAACATGCTTTATTTCCAATTTTGAATTCCCAGAGAACAACAGATGTGCACTTCCCATGTGGTACAGGCCAAAATACAGAAGGATCCTATTTAGTATCTAGCATTGTATATATTCTGGAGAAGCCAGCATGTCAACTGAGATGTTCTCTTAGCAACTGTATCAATTTGGAGGCCTAAGTTCATACTAATGACAGTTTGTAATAGAAGGGAGATATGGTAGGTTGTTTCCAAAGATGGCCACCATGACATTTTCCATCCTGCATGCCTTCTGCAATGAGCCTTTGCCACTCCTTTCATTAAGGGCGACTCTGTTTTCCCTCTACTTGATTCTGGGCTGTCTCTGTGACTTGCTTTGGCCAATGGAATAGGGCAGAAGTAGTGCCATTTGGCTTCCTAGGCTCAAGTTTTAACTGCCCTGAAGTTGAGTCCAACTCATGGCGACCCCATGTGTGTCAGAGTAGAACTGTGCTCTGTAGGGTTTTCAATGGCTAATTTTTCAGAAGTAGATTGCTAGGTATCTCTAGGTGGACTCAATCTCCAGCCTTTTGGTAAGCAGGTGAGAGTGTTAATTGTTTCATCACCCAGGGACTCCTCAGGGTTTAAGGGGCCTGTTGAATTGAATTGGTTAGTGCTTCATTTTACAAATGAAGAAACCAAGGCTTAAGAATTTAAAGACTCTATCCATGGTTATATACATAGAGTATACTATAGAGTCGCTATGAGTTGGAATTGACTCAGTGACAACAGGTTTGTTTGTTTTTCATTTTATACATAGCAAGTGGGGGAGCTTGAAGTACTAGCCAATGCAATTAGATAAGAGAAAGAAAGAAGAGATATCAAGATTGGACAGATGGAAGGAATTCTCAGTATTTGCTGGTTTCTCTGTCTCTAGAGCTCTTAATCATTGTATTACTATAACAATAATTATTAAGACTCTTCACTTCCAGAGCTGCACAGATCAGAGGTTTGCAGTGAAACCACCCATTTATTTGCCTCTTTTTTTTTTTTTTTTTTTTGCCAGTGGCCTGATTCCACCAAGAGAAGACCCAGGAAGAAGAAGAGAAAAAGATGCCTTGGTTGCCAGGACCAGCAATGCCAGCTGTAACAACGAGAAGACGATCATAAAGAAGCTGTAAGTCACCTGTCTGCCCCATTTCCAGTAAATAATTGCTAAAGGAAAGGGGTGGGTGTGACAAGGGGCTGGCCAGCTGCCTGGGCGGGGAGGCCCTCCTCTATCCTGGTGGTGTTGCTGCAGCAGATATGAAACTCAATGCCAGTGTACTGTAACATCTGCCAGACTGCATGCGTCAAGTAGTCCAAACACTTGACATATTCTAACTCGTTTCATCATCACAACGACCCTAAGAGGGAGGTACTATTATTATCCCCATTTTACAGATGGGAAAACAGACACCAAAAAGTAAAGTAATTTGCCCAAGGTCAGACAGATAGTAAATAGCGACGTTAGGATTTGAACCCAAGGCAGTGTGACTCCAGATTCTATACTCTGTCTCCCGGTGATATAATACCAAAAAAATAATATGCCAACAACAAGAATAACATAATAACAATAATTGTCGAGGCTTAAGGGGTCTTATTCATCATACCCCTTTTACCTTCAACTTTGGCTGCTAACGGAAAGATTGGAAGTTTAGGTCCACGCAGATGTGCCTTGGAAGAAAGGCCTGGTGATTTACTTCAGAGCAAGCAGCCATTGAAAACACTGTGGAGTATTGTTCTACTCTGAGACACATGGGGGCATACAATACTTTGACTCCCTTTGCTGTAGTCTAAACCTCTCTAAGATTATGGCTCTAGGAAATTCCCACACAGGTCCGTAAGAGGACACAGACCAGCATGAAGGTGTTCATTGCAGCCTTGTTTACAGCAGTGGAATGCTGAAGGCACCCTAGAGTCCGTCACTGGGAGAGGAAGTATTATGGTGGCTTTAGAAGCAACAAGTTAGATGTCTGCTGCGGGGAGAAGAGTTGGAGGGGACAGAATCAAAGCTGAGTGAATAGGGGTGTTTCTTTCCCAGGAAGGGGTCTTCTGGGGTAAGATAATGAAGGTGTAGGTAGGACCTGATGGTGTTTATTTAGGACTCTCACTGGCCAAATATCTCATTGTAAGTGAGGCTTTCAGGAGGTATAAACAACTATTTTCTTTCTGCCTCCTTCCTGGGAGTTCTTTAGGTCACTTAAGTGGACTTTGAGACTAATAAGGCAAAAATAAAATGTTCTGTGCACAGCTGAGGACACGTGTTTAATGAGTGTGAGGCAAGGGTTTCATGGTGAGATATGCTTATTGAACTAATGGAATGAAGTAATGAGTGTGTGCGTGGCTATCTAAAGGAGGAGGTCATGATAAGGAGGACTTTTGTCTTTATCCTGAGTGTCTTAGTTATCTAGTGCTGCTCTAACAGCAATACCACAAGTGGGTGGCTTTAATGAACACAGATTTATTTGCTCCCAGTTTAGGAGGCTAGAAGTCAGAATTCAGGGCAGCAGCTCTGGGAGAAGGCTTTCTCTCTTTGTTGGCTCTGGGGGAAGGTCCTTGTCTCCTTTCAACATCTGGGGGCCTGGTGTTCCTTGGAAATCTCCATGTGTCTTGGCATCAATCTTCCCTTGGGTCTAGGAAGGTCCAAAGGATGCGCTCCACTCCCTGTTCTTCTTTTTTGGTGCTAGGAGATCCCTCTCTTCTGCTGGCTTCTCTCTCCTTTTATCTCTTGTAGGATAAAAGGTGTTGCAGGCCACACCCTTAAACTCCCCTTACATTGGATCAAGACAGTGAACTGAGTAAGGATGTTGCATCCCACCCTAATCCTCTTTAACATAACCTAATCTTGCCTCATTAACCACAGGCAGAGATTAGGATTTACAACTCATAGGCAAATTACATCAAATCATAAAATGGAGGAACAACCACACAGTACTGGAAATCATGGTGTAGCCAAGTTAACACATACTTTTGGGGGGCACAGTTCAATCCATGACACTGAGGACAGTGAGGAGCACGAGAGGGTTTAAGCCGAGAAATGACGTGGTCAACCCTAGGTCAAGGCAGTCCTTGCGGCTGCCATGTGAATGTGCAAAGTTAACGCGTAGTGGTTAACCGAAAAGTTGGCGGTTCGAACCCACCATCGGCTCCGTGGGAAAAAAGACCTGGTGATCTGCTCCCATAAAGACTACAGCCTAGAAAACCGTATGGGGCCAGTTCTACTCTGTCCTGTAGGGTCGCTATGAGTCCAAATTGACTCAGCACACAACAATAGAGGCTTGTGCTCATCATGGTGGCTTCGACTGGGGGCAGGGTGAGAAGTGGTGGGATTAGGAACATATTACATATTTGGGAGGGGAGTGGATGGAATGTGATGACCAAAATATGGCAGATGATGGGAAGGAGCCAGGGACAGTTCCCAGATTTCTGGCTGGAATGATTGGGTAGGGGGTGATATCATTTTCTGAGACAAGGATCTCTGGGGTAGGAGTGCAGGTTCAGGGGTGAAGAGCTGAGCAGGGTCCTAATGCCTGCATCCAAACACACTGGTCACAGGCCACAGGGAGGAGACGGGTTCTAATCCCCAGTGTATAGACACAGAAAGGTCACAGTGTCTCACACAAGGTCACATAGCTAGAAGTGACGGGCCAGGGTGCACACACAGGCCTGACGCTGAGGCTGGGTCAGAGGAGTTACAACAATAATAATGGCCACACTGGGATGCCCTTTGCAGGTCTGCCCAGCCCCAGCCTCTCTTAGCACAGCTGCTGGGGACGCTCAGGTGACTCGGGCCATGGTGTCTGACACCATCTGTCAGTATAGCTCTTTCAGTCTAGATCTGATTCCACAACTTATTGCGTGACTTGGGCCTCTTAACTCACAGAACCTCAGTATGCTCATCTGTAAAATAGGGATATTAACCACACTTACCTCATGGGGTTTGTTCTCGTTGTTAGTTGCTGCTGAGTCGATTCCAATTCATGGCGATCCCGTGTGTGTAGAGTAGATCTGCTCCTTGGGGTTTTCCAGGCTGTGACCTTTCCGAAGCAGATTGCCAGGCCTGTCTTCTGGGGCACCTCTAGGTGGGTTTGAACTGAACATCTCTTGGCTAGTACTCTTGGGTTTGTTATGAGCATGAAATTAGTCAATAGATGGGAAGCACCTGGGACTGTGCCCGGCCCATAGTAAAACCACCAAAACAAGTTGCTCTCGATTCTGACTTGTGGCAACCCCACTGGGTCAGAGTAGAACTGTGCTCTGTAGGGTTTTTTTTGTTTTGTTTTTTGCCTTGTGGATTATAATTTGTTGGATTCTGTTTTTACCCAAATACAGGGCATGCTTTAATAACCACCAAAACATTTCATGATGTGGATTGGGATGAATGCCTTACCAAGCAGATGAAAAGAATATGACACTTGTCTTTTAGGAACCCGTTGCCGTTGACCCTGATGCATGGCGCCCCCATGTGTGTCACAGTAGAACTGCACTCTGTAGGGGTTTCAATCGCTGATTTTTTGGAAGTAGATCACCAGGCCTTTCTTCCAGGGCATCTCTGGGTAGACTCAGACCTCCAACCTTTCGGTCAGCAGCCAAACGTTTAAACACCTGTACCACCCAGCATCTCCACATAATAAGCCTTCAGTAAACTTTTGAGTCATTCACTTGCAAGAGCTGCTTGCAGATTTTCCAGAGGTTTCTGGACCCCTTGTGTTATTCCCTCTGCTTACTCTAACCCTCCTCTCTCTCCACCCAGGTTCTTTTTCCGGTCAGGGAAGCAGACATAGACTAAGGCAGCGACTGTCAGACTTGAGAAGACAACCCACCAAGAAGACTTCAGAATTCATCTCTCTGTACCACACACAAACACTGAGCCTGCTCGTTTGCTTCCTCCTCAAAGCAGCCTGAGGAGGAAGGAGATGAGGTTCCTCCTGGAATTATTTTCTTGCCTGGCCACAGAACTGGTACGCCCTCTGAAGGTATGACCAGGGCAGGTGAAGAAGCCCAAAGAAATCTCAAAAGCAAGAGGAAAGTGCAATGAGACTCATCTCCTATCTCCACTTCACCTGCCTATGGGGGTCTCCAGAGTGCTGACGTGCGTCCCACTAACCCAGTCCCGCAGGTGACCTTGATCTCTAAAGTGAAGCAGCAAAAGGCATCAGCCAAAAGCGAGAAAGGAGAAAATAAAGCAGGAAAATAGGATGTTGACATTCCCATGGTGACTTCACTGATATTTAGTGAATATTTGATTTCGCTAACGTGACTTTCTTTACATGATTTTGTATTAAAGTAAAATGATTTATACTTTCTGGAACTGCTTTAGAGAGCTCTCTTACAGTTGAGATGGTTTATACATACAAACCACATTCCACTCAGTCTAAATGCTGCACCACTAACTTTGTGAACCCTGGTGGCACAGTGGTTAAGAGCTCAGCTGCTAACCAAAACGTCAGCAGTTCAAACCCACCAGCCACTCCTTGGAAACCCTGTGGGGCAGTTCTACCCTATCCTATAGGGTCACTATGAATCAGAATTGACTCAAAGGCAGCGGGTTTGGTTTTGGTTTGGTTTTATGCGAGAAAAAAAATGCAGCAAATTAGAACTTTAATAAGACACCATTGATTTTTAAGACATCCTGATTTCAGAGGTGGTCAGATGTGGGGAAAATGTACATCTAGGAATCGATGAAATACGGACAGAGCGGGGGCTGCATTTTGCAGAGCAGCTAGTGATCGTGCTGAACACCTTCCGAGAGCCTGCCTTCTTAGTAAATTATCGGCTTCCTGAATGTTTTATGCCTGCTCCATGGACTTCCTCATTTATTCTTCATAACAACTCAGTAGGATGGGGACTGGTACTAATCCCCAGTTTATAATCTCAGCAACCGAGACTCAGAAGGGTTAAAGTGCCTTACAGGAGGTCCCGCAGCAAGGAAGTGACTGGCCAGGATTCAAACGCAGGCCTGACTCTGAGGCTGGGTCAGAGTAGTAATAATAACATCGTATTTTTATGCAGATAACACATGCGTCGCACGTTTTTGGCCAATCCACGTCATTTTCCTGAGCGCGCTATGCGTATCGTGTGTGGGCACATTATTTGTGAAACATAATCGTAATCATGACAACACTTTCCTGCCTGCCTTGCCAAGTGCCATTCTTAGCACCTTATACATATTGTCTCACCATCACCCTATGAGGTGACATCATTATTCTTGTTATGCACACAGGGAAACCAACGCATAGCAGGATTAAGGGACTTGCTCAAGGTTCCCGGGTTAGAATGTGGTAGAAATAGGACTTGAGCCCAGGTACAAACGCCACAATCCAGGTTTTAACCAGTCCACCTTCCAGGAAAGGTCAGCAGTGTTGACAGGTCTGGCCCAGAACACCTGACAGGGCCATTAGACAGGGGCTCTTGTTTCTATGACACTGGAGGAGCCTGCAACCCTGATGGGTGCTCCTCTCTTACAAGGCGGGAAAAAGAGTTTCTGTACCTTGGAGGTGAGAGCCAGCTTGGGAAGCAGAGCCATGTGGTCCAACTTGAGAAGCATACACAAGAACGGTACCAAGGGGCAGCAAGATCACAGAGTAGAGAGTTCTGGAAGGTGGGGGGTCAGCTCCTGGGACTGATGTTTGGAATGGAGGTGTGGTCTCGATCCTCCAGGGCACCAGCCCTGCCTTATATCCTAGACACTGACCATGGCCGCAGGCCTCCCTACACCGGAGCCATTCCTGCCTCAGCTTCCCCATCTACAGGGTGGCCATCAAGCCTAGAGATAGACATAGTATTACTGTATACTGGTATCACCTGTTTCCAGACTGGGCGATCACCCTGTATAACTGCTTATCTGCCCCGTGTGGGGACAGATATGGCGAGAAGACCCACTGAGAAAGAAATGTCAGCTTAAGACGGCCCTGGTGGCTCTGGTGCCCTCGGACTCAGAAAGGTTACAGCAAAAATGCTCAGAGATGATCACTGATAGAATGAGAGAAAAATGTGGACCAGAATTTCAAATTCTTAACACAAAAAAACCAGACCTACTGGGCTGGTTGAGACTGCAGGACTCCCCGAGACGACTGCCATGAGATACTCTTCAAACCTTGAATCGAAACTAACCCAAGGTCACCATGTAGCTAAATAACAGATTAGCCAAAAAAAATAATAACACCCATGAGTACTGTGCTCCTTTAAAACATCGTCTATATGACCCCGAGGGACCAAATTACTGGGCTGAGGGTTGTGGGGACCACGGTCTCGGGGAACATCTAGCTTAACTGACGTAACATAGTTCTTATAAAGAAAATGTTCTACATTCTACTTTGGCGCATAGCGTCTGGGGTCTCAAAAGCCTGTGAGCGGCCATCTAATATAGTCCACTGGTCTCACCCCTTCGGGAGCAAGGGAGAATGAAGAGAACTGGATACAAGGAAAAGATTAGTCCGAAAGACTAATGGACCACAGCTACCAAGGCCCCCACCAGACTGAGTCCAGCACAACTAGATGGTACCCAGCTACCACCACTGACTGCTCTGACAGGGATCACAACAGAGGGTCCCGGACAGAGCTGGAGAAAAATGTAGAACAAAATTCTAACTCACAAAAAAAGACCAGACTTACTGGCCTGACAGAGACTGGAAAAACCCTGAGAGAACGGCCCCCGAATACCGTTTTAGCTCAGTAATGAAGTCATTCCTGAGGTTCACCCTTCAGCCAAAGATTAGACAGGCCAATAAAACAAAATGAGACTCAAGGGGCACACCAGCCCAGGGGCAAGGACTAGAGGGCAAGAGGGGACAGGAAAACTGGTAATAGGGAACCCAAGGTCAAGAAGGGAGTGTTGATATGTCGTGGGGTTGTTAACCAGTGTCACAAAACAATATGTGTACTAATTATTTAATGAGATGCTAGTTTGTTCTGTAAACCTTCATATAAAGTACAAGAAAAAAAATCATCTATATGAGACCAAACGGTCAACAATGACTTTAAAACAAAGATGAGAATGTAAGGGGGCAGGGAAACTAGACCAATGGAAACAGAACAACCAGAAAAGAAGTAATGAGAATGTCCACACATTGTAAAGGTCACTGAACAACTTGTGCAGAAATTGTTGAATGTGAACCTAAACTGCTGTGTAAACCTTCACCAAAAACACAATATTATTTAAAAAAAAAAATGCTTGGAGAGCAGCTCTGGGAGAAATGAGACGCTGGAGTGGGGGAGTGCTGGTAGGGAAGTCCTGGGAGCATATCTCCCAGAGACCAAAACCAAACCCATACCCATTGCCGTCAAGTTGATTCCAACTCATAGCGACCCTATAGGACAGAGTAGAGCTGCCCCGTAGAGTTTCCAGGCAGCACCTGGTGGATTCCAACTGCTGACCTTTTGGTTAGCAGCCGTAACATGTAACCACTATGCCACCAGGGTTTCCTCTCCCAGAGACAGGGCCTGCCTAACAACAGACAACAGAGCTGGGGGTCAGCCGGGGGTCACACATGGCAGAGCGAGGCACCTACAAACCCAGCACGAGAGGAACAGGCTCCAAAACCAGGTTTTACGCCAGGCGTCAGAAGGCACAAGAAGTGGCTGCTGTAGGAACTGTCTCCCAAAAAACCAAAACAAAAAAACCCCCAAAACCAGCAATTAAATACCAGAGCTTGGAGGCACTTACGAACAGGGAAATGGTAGAAATGACCCAAGTTTTTTATAATAATGATAGTAATAGCTAACCCTGGTTACTGAGGGGTCTATCAGCAAGGCTCTACAAGGGGTGCCTTGTATGTATTAACTCAGTCCTCACAGTCACCCAGAGGTAAATATTGTCTTCTTGTTTTAGAAGAAGAAACTGATTCAAAGAGAGGTTAAGTAACTTGCCCAAAGTTACACAGCTAGAGGATTGGGAGCAGAGAGTATTCCAGGACCTGAGTCCTCAGCCACCAGGCTACGCTGTCCCCTCCAAGGTGAGGCTGTAGTGACACATGACTACTGAATCCTCAGGACACGCCTCCGCCAGGCAGGTGGGTGGATACTTGTCCCACCAGATGGGCACATTTCAGAGTAAAGCCATTTGTCCAAGACCACACGGCTGACAAGCCTTAAGGTGCTGGAACTGGATCTAACTCCAAAGCAAGGGCTCTGCCAACAGTTCCAACCTGCCCCAAGTGCTGAGCGCAGGGACCGAGGGAAGGAAGGGGGAGTCCAGGGCAGGTGGTGGGGTGTGTGGCCAGGACAGATGCAGATTGTAGGACGGACTCCCAGCAAAGGTAGCATGGCTGGCGACTGTGAGATGCTGACTGCAGAATCAGTCCAGTAGATTAGAAACACTAATGGCAATTATAGCAGCTAAAATTGACAGCTGCTCATGATGTGCCACGCACCCTTCTAAGGTCTTGAAAGGCATGAATTTTTAATCCTCACAACCATTCTTAGACCCCCATTATACAGATGAACAAGCTGAGGAACATGCTTAAAATCACAGCTGCAAGATTTTCTGGCTTCCTAAGAGGACATGAACCACTGGTGTGTAACCCTGTTGTAAAAAAAAGCAGGAAATCCACCCTGACGTTTTTCTACCTCAGCCTTGTAAGAACAGAAAGACACACAGGAGGAGGCCTCGCCTGGTAATAAATATTTTAATTTTTTTGTTTCGTTTTTATGATGACAAAGAATTTTCAAGTTTATTTCCTTTCCTTAAAATACAAAGCTAAACCACAAACAGGTATACCCAAAACGTTTCATCTCACATTTACACGCTGCCGTGGGATCCTCCTCCAACTCACTGATCGTGCAGGTGTGGGATGGGGGGAAGACTTTCTTAGGTAGCACCGTCGTGAGGCCTGGGGGCATCAAGGATGAGGACAGGTGCTCATACCTGTCTCCATTCACATTTACCTGGGACCAGGGCAGGCGGAGGACCCCAGGTCATGGCTCCAGGCCCCAGCCCCCTGGACTGAAGGTCAACAGGGAGAGAATCAGATCCCCGTAGAGAGGGAGGAGGAAGCCACCTGTCCCTCCTGCCATCACAGTCAAGGTGAAGACTTCTGCCTGATCCTTGATCCCTGGGCCACGGGGCCCTGCCTGCTGATGTGCACACCTGGGGGGCCTGTCTCTGAGGCTGGCGGCAGCGGGAGGGTCCTGCACTTCCACGCTGGTAGGCTCACATGTCCGCTCATGGCTGCTTCTATGCAGGAAGGCCACCAGGCGATCTGACACACAGAAGGCCTTGCAGCAGGTCTGGAACTTTCGACCCAGCAGAATCAGGTAGGGGGTGTGGCGGGGGTGGGTAGGTAATGGTAAGTAATTTCTGGTCCCACTACAAAACTTTATTTCTGATTAGAATAGAGTACCATCTCAAATCTCTCCTACCAAAAGGAAAAAAAAAACAAAAAACAAAAAGCAAAAACAAAACTAAAAGCAAATCGCTGCAACTCCACTCATTTCAAGACCTATATACATGTAAGTTGTTTTCTGTGGTTTTGTCTTTTTTTTTTTTTTTTTTTTTTGGATTTTATGATTTTTATTATTTTTTAAAATAAATTCAGTGTTCACATTTCTATAAAGAGTTAACCCAGTTTGCGGAAACCCGCCCTGGCAGGAGGAGGCAAGCACGGCTCCTCCCCGCCCACGTCGAGTCTGATTACCTGCCCTGATGCTTTGAGGTGCCAAGAAAAGCGGCATCCTGTGGAAGAGTAAATACCCGCCAGCCCGGGTCCATGGGCCACGGGGTCAGTAAGCTTTCGAGAAAGCAGAGGGGAAGACTAGCTTACTGCGAAAACTTTTTTAAAAATATTCATACACTTCAATGTGCGCCTGTGGAGACGCTGGGGGAACAAGAGCTTGGAGACATCCGTCCGGGCCACCGGGAGGCAGAATCTTCCTGCGTCTGCCTGTGCTCCGACATCGGGGGTGCAGAGGGGGAAAGTCCTGGCTCCTCAGTTAGAGGCAGGAGAGCCGCCCAGCTTCCCAGTCCACGTTTGCCTTTTTTCCTCTAAAACCTGTGCCGAGTCTTGGACCGCATGCACGGGAAGCACAAACGTTCGACTTGTATGCAAAAAAGGTACAAAAACAACTCGAATATAAAAGTTTTGGTAATATAAGGCCATCTGTTCAAGCCCACCTTGGAAACCTGTAACAGATATTTAAATACTACAGTGAAAAGGCATCTTAATATACTTTTTAAAAAACATCTGAAGTCATCCACTAAGATTTAAGTGTGTTTAAAAAAAAAGAAATCAATTCCCTTTGAGGGCACTTTGTCCAGTGAAGGGGGCCAGGGGAAGGTTAATGCTTCAGCCACGGGTAGGCTTCGATGGAGGCCTTGCTGCGGTCCCCATAGTCATACAGCAGCTCCTCGCCGGCCGCGATGTCGCGGGACGCGACGAGGATGAGGTGAGGCACGCCGTCGATGTCGTGCAGTTTGGTCTGGCAGTTCCCACACTTGCTGTGATTGATCAGTCTCCCCAGGCGGTTCGTCTCTCGAGTGGCATCCACGCTGCGGGGGAGGGGGCACCACAGAGGATTGCATGGGTGGAGGGGCTTTGGAACCCAGGGAGAGGCGCGCACCATGCCTGCTCTCGAGTCTGGTGCAGTGTTGATTTATAACCACATTTTTGGGAGAGCGGTTCAAATCCAAAAATTATTTCTAGGAGCCTGGAGAGGCTCTGGGTGGGGTGTTTACTGCAGGGGCGGGAATGCAGAAGGCTGTTTATGGAAACACGGGAGGCAACTGTTAAAAAAAACACCAGTTGCTGTCTAGTCGAGTCCGACTCATAGTGATCCCACAGGAGTGTCAGGGTAGAACTGTGCTCCACAGCGTTTTCAATGGCTGATTTTTCACAAGCAGATCTCCAGGCCTTATTTCTGAGGCACCTCTGGGTGGACTGGAACCGCCCACCTTTCGGTTAGCAGCTGAGCATGTTAACTATTTGCACTGCCTGGGGACTCCAAGGCAACTTTAGAGTTTTGCAAAACAAATAAATGAACGAAAATTGGCTACTCTGGCTGTGTGCAGACAGGAGTGGGTGATGACTTCCTGAGCTGCTCAGGCCAAATGCCCTTAAGAGGGAAAGGCCAGGTGAGCTGCTAGACAGGTTTTCATGTGACTTCTGCTTCTCATCTGATGAGATGGTACACAGAACAGCTCCAATTACAAATATTAAACATGGGAAGAGCTTTGGAAGAGGGTAATAAGATCTAATCAAGAACCCAACCGACACAAAGCATGGACCCCTCCTTTGGGGTCGGGATGCTGTCGAGGGCTCTTGGGCTCCACAGCCTGTCCTCTCTTTTTGCCCAGAAGGAGAAAAGGCCCCTCAAAAGTGTAAGTGGACTTACCAGTAGGTTTTGCTCAGATACTGGAAATAGTACATGTAGCAGCCCGTAGAGGGGTCTTGGGCATACAGCGCCTCCCGCTTCTTGGCGTCAGTGATCTCGATGAGGTCCCCGTGGTACTCCACCACAAACTCGCCCCGCGAGAACTGCTTGGTGGCAATCACTCCCCTGCCTTTGCCATCGATGAGGTCGATCTGTCAGGGAGGATGGGAGAGGGGGCTGGTTAGTAACAGGAACAGACACCACCATGCACAGCGTGCTTCCTGGCTGCCCAGGGCTTGTGCTGCTTTATTTTAATGGCTTTACTCAGATATGCAAGGAAATTCACTCATTTTAAGTTGGCAGTTCATTGGGTTTTAATAAGTATATACAGTTGTGCAATCATCACCACAATCCAGCTTTAGGATACTTTTATCTCTCAAGAAGTTCCCTCATGCCATTCTGCAAACCTTAATTACATCGGATTCTCAGGAAAGATCTGCTAGGTAGGTACTGACCCATTTTGCAGATGAGGAGACTGAGGCTTTGAAAGGCAGAGTCACACGTCCAAGGTCACACAAGGAAGTGATCTGGCAGGGACTCAAATCCACGTACTTGATCTATAGTTTAGACACCTGCCTCTCCAGGAGGGGAGACGAGGACCCAGTGTTCCGAGTTTCCCCCTTACTGTAATTCACCCTCCTGTTTCTCCTCACCCCATTATAAATGGAGTTGAGGTGGGTGGTTGCTTGAGGGATCCAGGACTTATGTTCGGATCACCCTAGATGGTGGTTGGAAACTGAAGCTTTCTGGCCCGGGGGTCCCAATCCAGACCCATGGGACCACCAATGTGGAGAATTACTCCCTTCTCTTGTGCCACCCAAATGCACTGGAAGTGTTCAAAGGGAAAAGCAAAGTTCTTGAGCAATGCCATTGCCACGAGTCAGAATCACCTTGCCGCCAACGGGTTTGGTTTTTCGGTTTGCCTTTGCCAAGGTAAACATAATTCGGGGAAAATGTCATAGCTAATCCTTTTAAAGGTTTCCCCAGGCATGATGCTAAGTGAAGGAAGCCAGACGCAAAAGGCCACGTATGGTATGAGTCCGTTTACATGAGACGTCCAGAACAGGCAAACTTACAGACAGAAAGCAGATTAGTGGTTCCAGGAGCTGTGGGGGTGGGGAAGTGGGGAGTGACGGCTTAATGGGTACGGGGCTTCTGTTTGGGCAGCGGGGGAATCAGAGAGTTGTGGAACTAGATAGAGGTGATGTTTGCCCAACACTGTGAATGTACTTAGTACCGCTGAATTGTATATTGTAAATTGGTTTAAATGATACATTTTATGTTACTCGTATTGTACTTCAATTTCAAAAAAAGTTTTCCCAGGGTAACATTTCACATACAAAGCCCATTCCTGTTTTCTTTATGAGATGTCTCCTCAACCACAGTTTTAGTATTTGGCGCCCGGAAAACCTGACAGAGTCTGACAAGTCAGTGGCCACTGAAGGGTTAAAGCAACATGGCAGCCGCTCTGCTCTTAGCCACCAGGCCAGAACCAGGGAAGACTTTGGCTTGCGGCCGTGGCCCAAAATGCAGTGGGCACCTGCAGCCCCTTACCTTCATTCCTTCTTCCTTTCCACTTTCAATCAACTCGTCGATTTTTTTCCTCTCTTCAGACTGGGTGGAGAGGAAAAGGAAAAAGGCAGCGTCAGCGCCCTCTCCTGGGCCCATTCTGGGGAGTGTGGCGGCCCCGAGCCCTGATCTTCTAGGCCAAACATCTAGCCCCACTGAGGGTCCCTTGAATGGGTCACAGTTGGCCTCCATCACATCGGTCCCTAAAGGGTGCCAGAGCCCCCAGGTACCCCTCCTTTTCCTCATCTCCCACCTGTTGTGGACATCTGTCACCTGGGGTTAAAGTGGACCATGAGGGCTGCAGTGGTGTCTCAGGGGCAGACTCTGGCTCATGGGTATGTTCTATTTGCCCACAGCGGGTTTTGAAAAATATTTAGACGGCTGACATCTAAAAATCAGGAATCTGACTTGGTACTGAATCGGCTGGGGCTGACTAGAGGCTGCCCCCTACAGACGGGGCACGTGAGCCCCATGTCCCTCCCATGGGCCGGCTGCTGTGGATGTCCACATTTAGGATCCCTGAGCTACACCCCTAGGGAGTCACTGCCATGGTTGAAGGAGGGTCTCCCACCCAGGAGTGCCGGCGCAGCCCTGCACGGAGGGCCTGGGAAGAGTGGGCACCCCCGGTCTCGCTGCTCCTTCAGGCTGTCCCTCCTGTTACTACCTCCATCCTTGAGCCCAGTCCCACTGCTCGGTTGGGAGCACAGAACACTAGGGAGCAAAAGGGAACTGTACCAAGACAGACAGAGGCCCTGAAGCAGCGTGGCTCCCCAGCACGGCCCTCCACCCGCTGCTGAGCTTGCCCCCGCCCCAGGGCTAACCGCCAGGACACCACTGCAGTCAGCAGAACCAGCCTGTGGCCACGTGAGACTTCTCTGGTGACTCAGCCCACACCTATCTGTGAGACACCTGCAATGGGCTGGACACGACAACAGGTGCTGGGGACACAGAGGTGGGCAAAACCAGGTCCCTGTGACCTTCGGGATGGGCTTACGGACCCTACGGAGACAGCCTCTGAGCACACCATTCATTATGCCCAAAGCCTCCTGCTGCTCTCCAGTCCCTCTGCTGGGCCACCCCTGCTCCTGCTGGACACCTGAGGCAGCCACCTTGCTGGTCTCTTGGCTTCCACTGGGCCCCTCCCCCCAATCTGTTCTCCACAAACTAACCAGAGGGGTCGGGTCTTTTAAAAATGTAAAGAGATCATGTCATTTCCCAGTAAGTTTACTACATAGTAAGGTGCCCGTGCAGGTTCCTTACTTTCGACAAAAACATCATGGTAATAACGTATGACGTTAACAATGAAGGACTCCGGGTAAGCGGTCTACAGGACCTCTCTGCACTGTCTTTACAACTTTTCTGTAAATCTGAAATTATTTCCAAATACAAACTTTATTTAAGAACAAAAACCAAAAGCCCTCCCACTAGCTTCCCAATGTCACTGGGATAAAATCCAGACTCCTGAGCGTGGCCTATGAGGCTCTGCAGGGGCCGGACCCCGCTTCTCCTGCTTCATCTCCCACCCTCACCCTTGCTCCCATACTCTAGCCACACTGGCTGGCTCTTTCAAAAGGCCAAGCTCACTTCTGCCTCAGGAACTTTGCACATGCTGTTGCCCTGCCTGGAACACCCATCCCCCAGTCACATACATAATTTGCTTCCTCTCTGCTCAAAGGCCACCTCCTTAGAGAGACTTTCTCTGACTATCATATCTAAAGCAGCTTAGGCTGGCCACTCTATCAGATAACCCTGTTTTTAGAAATTAACATAGCATCATCGTCTGAAATTATCTTCTGCTTGGTCATCTTTTGTTGTTAATCTCCCCTACTTGAACATAAATTCCAAGTGTGTGGTGGCCTGATCTTGTTTCCTGTGGACACTCCTGGCCTAGAACAGTGTCTGGCACACAATGAGCCCTCGAAGCAACAACACATGTACACAAATCCCACAAAAACACCGTATGGAATAACTAGTTAATTCCAAGTGTGCAGAGTGGTGTGGACAAGCAGGTGGGCTGAGAGAGCATGGGAGTGTGAGGGTCGGCAGGTGGGAACACCCCTGTGGTGCCTGCTGTGCATGGAGGGGATGAACTGCTGGGCCGGGCCAGGTTGCCCTGAAGGCAGAGCCAAGGTGTTTGGGTTTCATTCTGGAGGCTCTGGGGCTTTGGGCAGGCAAACGCAGCTCTGGCTCCCTAAGGAGAATTGGGGCAGCAGCCCACAGGGTGGCCCAAAGGCAGCATGCGCGGGGAGTAAGCTGGGTCTGCACTAGGGAAGGAGGAGACAGATCTGAGACCTCCAAACCCTGGGGATGGGTGGGGATGAAGAAACCTGGGCACTGCCACAGGCGTGGCCCCTGCCCCAGGCCGGTGGCCACCCCACCAAAGCTCCTGGGGTTCAGGGTGCCTCTCCAAGATCTACCCTGGGTTTAAAACCTGTGGCCCAATTTCCACTCTCTTGCTCAGGACCTGACCCATCCCACCCACACTGTCTTCAGACTTAAAGGTGTGTTTGCGAAAGCTTTTAATTTTGGTTTCACCTCTGGCTACCCACACCCTTCTCTGGTGCCCTGCCCTGCTTTGGCCCCCAGCCCAGGCCCAGTTCCTGCCAGCCCAGAAAGGCAGTCAGATCAGCACCGAGCTCACCCTTCAGATGAGGCCCAGCGGCCCCACCCTCGGGCTGTACTTACACAGTCAGCAGAATCCACACCCTGACCAACAACCAACCCCCTCATCACCCGACCAACAACTGCCTCACTGCCCTGACCAACGACTCCCATCTGACCAACAGCTCCCTCTGTCAGCTGATGAACAATCCCCTCATCTGACCAACAACCACCTCGTCATGTTATTCACTCAGCAAAGTCCACAAACGGTGAGGGGCGCCAAATGGCTCTCCCTTGCAATGGGCTCCTTGTCCCCAAGATGGGGAGAGCTTTAAGTGCCTGCAGACCAAGCTCTGGGGAAGCAAGCATGTGTTCCCTTCTGCTTGTCTGCTGCAAGACTGAGCACACGGCATCATACCCCACTGCAGCCCTCATGCCTCTAAACAGATAAGCCCTTGTTTTTTTAAATGAAAAAAGCAAACTCAGCTACCCTTGGACCCTGCACCCCACAGCCGCTCTGCCCGAGCCCATGGCGCTCCCTGCGTTGGCACTGTGGCGGGAGGCTTCCCGGGCTCTGCAGCCTGGTGCCGGCCTCACCCTTCTGCAGTGCTGCCTTTAAGATGACCTAGCACAGCCTCCCACTGCAGACAAACATTTTATAACAGCTTGTTCTTGGCCGAAAGACACTGCCTTTCCAGGCAAATACAGCCAAAACTTCTCTCTGGGGCGGGGGAAAAAGGGACTGCTTTTTTGTTTTTTTTTTAAATGAAGCCTCATCAATTAAAAGAAAAAGAGAGAATACCAGACCTCTGTCTCTACACCAGCAGACTTAAAAACTGCAGAAGAAGTCTGTGTGAGGGTTGAAACACTCAAGCTCACAAAGCAGGGGTCCCCCACCTTTTTGTGGGGGAGGCAGTCATTAGTACTGCTCCTGAGGCTTGAGACTGTTTTGGGGATGTGGGGGAGCAGAGGGACTGACCCAGAAGCCTCTGCGTGGGAGGGTGGCAGGTGGTAGCGCACGGCTGCAGGGCCCGAGCCACACCCCACCTGCATGAACAGAAAGGTCGGTGTCACACCTGTCACACCTCGCTGCACCGAACACTGACAGACTATACTGCATAGCTCAGGCCTCTGTAAACACGTCAGGAAGAGGCCGGTACAGCCCAGCTCCCCTTCCTGCCGGTATTTTTCACTCTGTTCTACGTGTTCCCAGGGATACTAGCTGGGCAGGAAAGAGCACAGGTGAGCCGTGGTCACTGACTACAACGGAGAAGCAACGGTGACATTAAGAAGAGCTAACGGTGCCCACCATGTACCAGGCATGGTTCTAAGTTGGTCCACCTGCATTATCGCGTTTAATCCTCAACCAGCCCACACTGTCCCCATTTTACAGCTGGGGAAGCTAGGGTACAGAGAGCTAGCTCAACAACATGCCCAAGGTCTTACAACCACTAAGTGGCAGGGCTGAGATTTGAATCCAGACTGGTCTGGCACCCAAGCCACTGCTCTTTGCCACCAAGAGACATAATACAGAATCCTCTGGAGAGCAGACAAGACAAGCCTCAGCGACAACTAGCCGTTCCCCACAGTCCCAGGCTCTACTGGGCCTGCCGGACTTGTCAGTAGTGCCTGACTTGCTATGGAACGTGCCACAGGTTACAAAACTCCTTCACAGAGGTGCCTTGACCAAGCTCATAGTGACCCCACCAGGGAGGTAGAGCAAGCCTTATGATGATCCTCACTAGCCTGGGGAGAAAACTGAGGCCAGAAAGGCAAAGGGGCTTGCCCCAGGATGACATGAACACAGCTTGGGTCTCACCCGCCAAGCATGCCCTGGGCTACCCTGCCCCTCCAAGAGCTGAAATTAAAACCATGTGACTCCCACATGAACCACAGCCTCATCCAGCCTGAGACCAGAAGAACTAGATGGTGCCTGGCTACCACCACTGACCGTTCTGACCAAGGACACAACAGATGGTCCCAGATAAAATGGGAGAAAACTGTAGAACAAAACTCAGATTCCTAAAAAAGGCCAGACGTACTGGATTGGTAGAGACTAGAGGAGCCCCTAAGACTATCGCCCTGAGATACCCTTTAAACTTGGAACTGAAGCAAAATAACAGACTGACTCATGAAATAAACAATATCACTCATGAGTACTGTGCTCCTTTAAATAATCATCTATATGAGACCAAGTGGTCAACATTCACCCTAAAGCAAAGATGAGAAGGTAAGTGGGGAGGGGGAAAGGGAAGCTAGATCAATGGAAACAGAATACACAGAACGGAAATATCAAGAATGTTGACACATCGCAGAAAATGAAACCAATGTCACTAAACAATATGTATGGAAACTGTTAAAGGGAAGCTAATTTGCTATGTAAATGTTCACCAAAAACACAATAAAATATTAAAAAAAAAACAAAATAAAAGAAATGCACATGACTCTACCTGCAGCTCGGCTTTGCTCTTCCTGGAGCTCCTTCGGACAGGGTAGAAGTCTGTGAGTTTGCGATTCTGTTGCGTTTTTCCTTGAGCTCTGGGATGGGGAAGCAAGAAGAGAAAACAAGTATTAGTATGGAAAACCACGCTGGCACCTAAAGGCTCACAGCTCCTTAGGAAGAGGAACTGAAAAGGGGATGTCATCTAAATGCCTTTGTCCCCTGGGGCCTGACGGTCACGTAGGCTCACCTGCCCCCAGGGACCTCAGAGTGTCAAAGGCAGGCTGCCCGCTCTTGGTGGGAGGGGAGGCTCCTGAACTCGGGACCCAGGCAGGACTGAGATGCTGACAAATAATGGCAGGGCTAGTGGTGACACCCCTGGGCAGGCTTCCCTGGGGTTGGAGAACCGCCCTGCGCTGCGTGAGGAGGACTCCGGGAGTCACTTACTTTTTCCGTGGGGCCTGTTTGCCCTTGATGGGCTTCTTTAGGCTTGGCTTGGCAATGGCTGCACTGGTAGCATCACCAGACGAGGCTGGAGTTTTTGGAGGTTCTGCTGCTTCAGATTTTTGGTTTGGAAAAGGGGCCAGGGGGCCTCTCCTGGCGTCTTTGATCTTCTGCTCCTCGGACTTCACGGGGCTTCGGATTGCGTTCCCAGTGTTTCTTTTCTCTGCGGGCAGAGAGTGGGAAGGACATGGGCTAACTCTGTACTCACTGTTGTCCAGTGTCTGGACAGTTGGCGCATTCTAAGACAGCCCTTGAGAAAAGGGGGCCCTGGGGTGTGCACAGCAGTGACCCCAGCCACCTTGCCCGGTGACCACTGTGGCTGTTGTGGGAGACACGCCTAGCTCTCATTTTTGACCAAGACGCTGGGCAGAGCATCTGGACCTCTGTGTCTTGGAGCAGAGAAAGCCTTGAAGCTGAAGCACCATAGACTGTGCTGCTGGCCTGAGAGCTCCAGCCAGAGCTGTCAGGAACTGGGCTGCGGACCCCAGAAGGAAACTCAGTTTCTAAAGGGGAGGCCTGATGAGGGTGCTGGACGGAGTAAGGCGAGAGAGCAGAGCCTCTTCCCCAGCAGAGAGCTGGGGAAAAAAGTTCCTTCTTGCAATGGGGTTGAGGCCCAGTGTTCACGGTGGTTCTCAGAGCCGGGTGGGCTGTGAGGTACATCACGAATAATTTGCTACTAAAAATAGTTGCAAAGTGTCAGTGTGGGTGAATAAGTCCTTTTTTTTTTTTTTTAAGGATTTACTTTTTTAAAAATAAGTAACACACTGCAGATGGTAAACAGTCTGCCAGCTCCTCCAAAAGCTAAACATAGAGTTACCATATGACCCAGCAATTCTGCTCCTAGGTAGGTGCCCAAGAGAAATAAAAACACATGTCCATGGACAAAGTTGTACATTATTCATAACAGTGAAAAGGTGGAAACCACTCTTATGTCTACCGATTAATGAATGGATAAACAAAATGTGGTCTAGCCACACAACGTAATATAATTCAACAATAAAAAGGAATGAAGTTCTGATACATGCTACAACGTGGAGGACCCGTAAAAACATTCTGCTCAGTGAAAGAAGCCAGACACAAAAGGCCAGGCAGCATGTGATTCCATTCACATGAAAAGGCAAATCCATAGAGGCAGAAAATAGACTAGTGTTTGCCAGGGGTGAAGGGAAGCGGGTATCGGGAGTGCCTGTCGATGGGTACGGGGTTTCCTTCTGGCGTGATGAAAATGTTCTGGGACTATATAGCGGCGATGGTTACACAACTTGGTGAATATACTAAAAACTACTGACTCTGTACATTCCAAAATGGGGAATTTTATGCTAGGTGAGTCACATCTCAATAAAAAAATAAATGACTGGGAACACTTTCAGACCATTGTTACTCCCTTGCATACTTTCTTGTGTGAAACCAGAGGGATGAAAGTCCACCCTGGAGTGTGTACTGCCGTGAATGTCATCCTTTATGTCAGTCTGCGTCACAGCAGAAAGAAGGTTGAGGATCACTGGCCAGGAGCCTGGCCCTTGGAGTCACCTCCAAAGTACATCTGATCCTGAATTCTAATAGTTGGCATTTAGTATCACCATGAGCCAAGTTACCCTGGGTGGCACAAATGGGTAAGTACTCAACTACTAGCTGAAAAGCTGGCAGTTCAAACGGACCCAGAGGTGCCTCAGGAGACAGGCATGGCGGTCTGCTTCTGAAAGGTCACAGCCTTGAAAAAACCCAATGGAGCACAGTTCTACTCCGCACACATGGGGTTGCCATGAGTTGGAATCGACTTGATGACAACTAACACCGTGAGCCAAATACGCTTGTGAGCTAACTTAGGCACCAGATCACCACTTGAAACCTTTTACATTCTGCCCCACTCCAAAGAGGACATGAGCCTGGCTGAGTGCCATTTACAAAGAGCCCATTCCCCATTCCCTACGTGCCAGGCGTTACGAGCAGGATGCAGAACTCCCCGTCCAGGAGGACCAGCCCAGTTATGGGGCACTTCACAGAGCCCTTCTGCAGCCAAACTTTAACTGCTCTGCAGAGTTGCCCTGCAAGATAGGACTCCTCTCTCTCCCAACTCACAGATGAGAGAACGGAGGCTCAGAAAAAGACCAGCAACTTGCCCTATTTTTACCAGTTGCCATTGAGAACTGTGCTCCATACGGTTTTCAATGGCTGATTTTCTGGAAGTAAATCACCAGGCCTTTCTTCCAATGCACTTCTGGGTGGATTTGAACCGCCAACCTTTCAGTTAGCAGCCAAGCACATGAATCTTTTATACCACCCAGTGACTCTGTAACTTGCCCAAAGCCCCTTACTTTTAAGCAGCAGAGCTAGGATTCAAACTCAAGTCTTTTGAAGACTGACTGAAATATCACTCTGTGCCCTGGAAGAAATCAAGCCAAGGGCTGGCTCCTGGCCCTGGGTCAGGGCTTCTCCAGCCCTTGTTCTCAGATCTGGCCCCAGAGACTGGGCTAAATTATCACTGTTAATACCCTGTAAATGAATATAAGAATACAAGGCTTCCTTGCATGGAGCTGCTGGTAACCAGAGGTTCTGTTTCTTTAAGGCAAGATGAAATTAAGAAGAGAGCATGGTGACTTGGGAAAGGTCACCTCCCCACTGCACCTTTACAGAGGAAGACTGGGATTAAAGCAAGATTTCTAAGAAGTTTCAGCTTGTGTTACAGGGGCCAGACAGAATTTTCAATGGCCACACATTTTCTGGTTTAAAATTTTAACTCCAAATCTCAGCACAGAGTATGCTGCTTCAGAGAGGGACACTGAACACTTGAAAGAAACTTTAGAATTGGGGTCAAGGCCAGCTCCTAACAGGGAAGGATGTTCCTTCCCTACGTTCACACGTCATGTTAGCGAGGACTGCAATTGCCTGGCTTCACAGAACCTAGGCTTATTTTTCTGTACGTCCAAACTTGTTTAATTGAGGGTCACGTGTGTTACTTTTGCAACCTGCCAAGATGTTTGAGCTTGCAGGGAAAACCTATGAGGCCAACAGGGCACACGCCCTGGGACAGGTCACACGCCCTGGGACAGGTCACTCTTTCCCCATGTCTGTGTTTCTGAGACAGGAGACGGCTCAAACAGAAATAACTTGAGATACATAATAAAACCAGTTGCTGCTGAGTTGATTGCAACTCATGGCGACCCCACGGGTCTCAGAGTAGAACTGACCTCCATAGGGTTTCCATTGGCTGATTTTTCAAAAGCAGATTGCCAGGCCTTACTTCTGAGGCACCTCCGGGTGGACTCAAACCTCCAACCTTTCCGTTAGCAGCCAAGTGCGTAAACCACGTGCACCACCAAGGGACTCTAAACCCATAATGTCGGCAGTTTCTGACATGACCACCTGTAGTCAGACAGGGACACGTCGGTGGCTTACCTTCTCGTTTCCGATAGATTCCAGCTAATGGTTTCCCCTGGCATTTGACTTCGTGATGTGCAACTGAGTTCTCTTCCTGAAGCGGGGAACGCATTCCAGAGCATTTGTTCGGACTCATGTAAGTATAGATCTTCGACTGCCCGGTAAACACGTTCTCCTAAAAAGACAAACATGAATTCTGAAAGAGGCTTGAAGGAGATGACAATCCCATAGCATTTAAGGGGAAAGGGGGAGGGGAGGAGAAATCAGTATACAAGAGACAAAAACAGACACCATTATCATCTCTGTAAACCTGGACGACCAGGGATGCCACCCCCAGTCTCAATAGAGCACTGGAAGGGTTAGAATCCCCCAGGCCCAGGTCAAATGTTCCTTGGACAGGCGTGTCTCTAACTCTAGTCACTCAGGGTACATCTGACCAGCAGAACCAGCTGTACATAACGGTGGATAGGAAGGAGACAACCTACCAGCAACAGGGGGGGCCACAATGACCCACAGCAAACAAACTGACAGTCTGAAGGGCCAGGCTGTGTGCAGGAGTTAACTCCCCCGGCCTCAGCCAGCCAACCCGATTAACCACTTCTTGGTCCCCAAGCCAGCTGGTGAGGATTGTCAGTATGGCCTGAGCCTTCTGTGCCCAAGCCCGCCCCTGTCAAATCACTGCGCCACCCGGCAGCCTCCCAGGACTGCGGCTGGGGAATTCTCTTAGTGACTAGGGGGAGGGAAGCTAAGGAAAGGGAGCCTCCAGCCAGCACACTTGGGGCGGTCACCATATTGCAAACCGCACCTTGGCGTTAATAAAAGAGTGGGCAGGCCAGTGGGGCGGTGCAGGTCGCCACTGAAGTCTCTGGGGGTGGGGCCTCTTCGCTGACTAGGCGCAAACAGGAGGAGGGCGTCCCCAGAAACAATGCCAGGCCCTTTCGGAGGAACTGGGGAACCATGAAACACCCAGTCGGCCTGTCCCGTGACCTCGCTGAGAGCCTCTGGCAGGCTCCGCACACCCTGGGAGGGAAGCCACCTCCGGGGTCGCTCGGTTGTGGGGTGTGGAAATGGCATAAAGACAATCAAACTTTTCCGAGGTCAAATACCGCCGCGGCCCAGGGGCCAGGCTCATGGCGGAGCAGTGAGGACTCCACTGCCCCACAGGCGACAGAAAGGGAAGCTGCCGGGGCCGGGCGCCCCACCTAGGGCGCGCCGGGGATCCCGGGGGGCACCCACGTGCTCGCGGCCCGGTCC